TACACAAGCTTATAGCATTTTGGATCTAAACACTTCATTCATATCTAATAGCGTCCATCGTTAACTTCTTAGATAATCATGAATATTTTAAACTTTTACGACTTCTTTATAATTGGATTCCAGTCCCCAGGCTCAAGGACAAACAGTTTTACTGTCTTTGGTCCGATCGTTGAATCGTGAAGGAAATATTTACGATGAATTTTTATTTTTTATTTCTATTATGCCCGAATACTGTAAATGCTACTTAATTTTAAATTACTTAAATATCGTGTTGTCTCTGTCGTTTTACAAAGATTTGTGGTGACAAAACTATACTCAAACGCGACTTATAATTGAGTGACGTTTTAATATTTGGACATTAGTTGTAAAGGTTTTATAGTCACTTATTAATTTGTCGTGGTGGCCCAGAGGCTAAGACGCCCGCTTCTCATGCATGAGGGTGCGGGTCCAAAACCTACCAACAACAAGTACAAACGGTGAAGGAAAACATCGCGAGGAAACCTGGACTTATAATTTCTAATTATTAGTTTGAAATCGCCAACCCGCAATGAGAAAGCGTGGTGATTAATGCTTAAACTGTCAAACACCAAGCGGTCACCGGTGACCGCAACCTATTGTTCTATAATTGTGTCTATTATGACGGTACTCGACGAGTTAAACCTCCTCCTCCGTGTGAGAAGAGGCTTTGCTCAGCAATGGATGTTTATGGGCTGTTGATGATGATGATGATATATTAAATTTAGTTTTATAAGGCCATGCTGTAAGAGTCTACAGTTACTTTACTTGACACTCACAAAATAAATCTTAAGAAAGATTGGCGTAAATGGATTTCTAAGTCGCTGGCCCCGTGCAATAAAGCGGTAAACGCCGGTTACGCTCTTTTTAATGTTATTTGATTTTTGGCTTCTCTGGGTGTCAATCTATCACTCTAATTTTTTTCGATTTTTTTCATTAACATTTCTTTAAAATAGATACCAAAAACATCTTTATTGAATGGAAAAATCTCTTACGACTAAAAATGTATTATTGTAATACTATAACAATCTTAACACAAAACACCGGTAATTATCTTTACACTTAATTTCTAAACAAAGATTAACAGTAATAAATTTAACGACTTTTTTAGAAATCAATGTATTATATCAATAAACTGCAAACACTTATTACGAAGAAATCACAAGAGATTTTATTCAGTACAAGTTATTACGTCTTTCTTCTCGGAAATGTATTGTAACCCCGGCGTCGTATTGTCGTGTTACGCTGAATGCCATCTCTTTCACTCCTACGCATAAATGATTACCGCAGGCTTTCTAGCATCATGCGACCAAACTACATACCGAAATGAAAATATACAATACACAACACTGCAAAACGTCCACCAAGATTTAACAATTGACCAAAATATATTGTATGAACCACTGGTCGATAGTGATAATTCTCATATTTTGGTTTTACAATGTGACAAAACTGCCGTCGAATCTAATGATTTCAATAATACTGTAAACTTGGATGCAGATTTCTTAGTTGAAAATCAATCTACAACGATAGAAAATGCTGACATCGAATCTAATGATTGCAATCAAACTACAACAACAGAAAATGTTCCATCCGTTTTAGTACCTTCAACCACCAAAGAACTAACTAGAAAAAAAAGGCGACACGAAGAAAATTGGGAAAAAGTTAAGAACAAAAAACAAAAAAATTCAGGCCAAGCTTATACTAGTAGTAACTCGAAAAAAAAATTTGATTCTAAAACGATGAAGGACGCCTGTAAATGTAATAAGAAATGTGGTGAAAAGATTTCTCAAATATCTCGGCAGACGATATTTGACGAATTTTGGAAACTTAGTAATCACGAGGATCAATGGCACTATATCTTACGGCATGTGAATACTAAAGATATTAAAAAAATGCAACTAGTAAGAACTAAAAACAGAACACAAACAATTAACTATTTTTTCAACATAAATGGATCTGAATCAATAAACGTTTGCAAAAATTTTTTTTTGGGTACATTTGCGTAAAAACAGTTTAAACAGCAATAGAGAAAGGAAAGTCTGAAGTAGTCAAAGATAACAGGGGTCAGCATGAAAATAGACCACGGAAAATGAGTGTCACATTATGTCAGAAGAGATACTAAAAAGTTATATCTAGGAGAAACACTGAACATTTCCAAAATGTACAGGCTGTATTCCGATGACTGGTTTAAGAGTGTAAATTATCCGAATGATGTAAAGATGGCCACTAAACGCCAGTATGAAACAGTGTTCAATACAAAATTCAATTATTGTTTTCACAAACCCAAAAAAGATATGTGTGCCCAATGTACATTGTATCGTCAAGCTGATGATGAAAGAAAAGACCAACTCCAAGAAGCTTACACAAAACATATTAGAAACAAGGAGAGTGTTCGTGAACTCAAAACTAAAGATAAAATAGAAGCCGATTCTACAACTACTGTCGTCGCTATTTATGATCTGGAAAAAGTCTTGACGATTCCTCAATCAGAGGTAGGAATCTTTCATTACAAGCGAATGTATCCTATATATAACTTCACAATTTACAACTCATTAAGTGGAAGAGGTTACTGCTATCTTTGGCACTATCAAGTGGCCAAAAGGGGTGCTAATGAAATTGGCAGTTGCGTCCTAAATTTCATTGAAACTGAGAGCCAACGCGGTATCAAGAATTTTATATTTTATTCCGATGGTTGTGCTGGGCAGAATAAAAATAGGATTATCTATGCTCTTTATTTATGTTTGTCCAAAAAGTATGGAGTTAACATAATACATAGGTATTTTGAAACTGGTCATAGCCAGTCTGAAGGAGATTCGATGCACTCTCTTATCGAACGCGCAAAAAAGAACCACACAATTTATACTCCTGATCAAATGTATGGCATAATCATGAATGCCAAGATCAATGGTGAAAAATTTCATCTTACAGAAATGGAACAGCATAATTTTTTTGATTTAAAGGAGATAATGGACAAAAGACACTGGTTGCGGGCAGACCAAACCAATGAAAAAGTTATGTGGACAAAGATTCACGAAATCAAAATTACTGAAGCGCATCCAGATATTATTTATTTAAAGTATGACTTTGACGATGAGTATATTTCTCTAAATACTGCATCAAACACCAGGTCTTCAAGAGGAAGATCCAAGAAGATGCCAGTGACCGATCTTTCAGGAGATGAACTGCGTAATTTGTACAGGGAGCCAATCGCCTTACCAAAACCACTGTATGATGATTTGATGAGTCTCTGCAAATCTGAAGCAATCCCGAAACATTATCCTACATTTTATAATAATTTACGTTGTGTTGGGAACACTGAAGAAGAAATTGATACTGAAAGCAATGATTCAGATTAAAGTAACATAATATTTTTTTCTTTTTAAGCGTTTACCATTTTATTTTTGTTACCAAAGTACAACACTTAGAAAAAATATGTGATTTAATGCAAACTACTGTAGGAATGTATCTTTATCTTTTTGAAGTATTTTTTTGTGATTGCTTCCAAAGTTTAATACTCAATAAAAAATATATGTGATTTTATTCGAATTAGACTAGTAAGTATAGTACTTTTGTTGTTAAGGGTTTTATGTGATTTTTTTAAGTTTAATATTTAATAAACCATTTGTGATATAAACTGTTTTTCTTTTAATAGATGGCAAATATCATTTAACACTTTATTAAACGAAATTATCTCTAACTTATTAAAATTTTGTCTAAAATGATTAAAAATAAAAATAAATTTCATTATAAGGACGGTTTGTTACATTGGATACACATACATATGGTTCATTGATAGGATTCTAAAATAGTGATTAGTGAAAGATACACCTAAACTTCGGCTAGAAAAATTCCTGAAGAAGGTGGTAATCGGCTGGTACGATCAAGATTCAAAGTCGAAATTATGTCGTATTCTATTTTTACATTCCAGAATCTCAGTTGTCTTTGTGTTTATAAAGTCATTAATGATGTTACAATTGAAACAGTATTATGTATAATTAGTATTATACATATTTTCAATTATTTCATTAAGTAATTATATTATTACAATTATTTTTAAAAGGTTAAATTGATAAAAAAATTAGCTTTTTAGTGACATTTTGAACGCCTGTTTTGCATGACTGTGCGCTGCACTATAAACAAATTAGCTTCTTTTATTTTTCCTGTAAAATTAGACTTTTGATATTACCACTTTATTGCCCGGGGCCGGCGAGATGTGATTTGAATAAAACACAAAAATAAACGAACCTGCGTCTGTTTTTGTTATTATTTTTTTTGTAACATATTGAAACTCGTGCTGGTACTTTTTAAGGAGATAATTTGAAATTATTAAGTTACTGGATACTTTGAGTATTATCTAACTATAGTTTAAATCTATAGATAGTTCAATATTAAATGTAAATTTAACTATCTATGAATTTATGATAGCCTGGTATTTTGGACTGGTTATATACCTCTACAATTCTGGTCCTTTCAAAATTGCTGTAGATAAAACTATTCCAGCATCAAATACCGATATTAAAATACACATACATACAAATAAACTAATTACTTTTATCATAATTATTTCGAACACAAAATGGTTGTATGTTCATAATTGTCTGACCTAATTACAATATTATTTGTTCAATCCTACTGACCGTGAGGATACGAAATTGTTCGCTTATACCACAAACAGTCACATACCAATATTTGAACTAAACTTTGTACATTCTCGGAAATCACATACTAATACACTCACACATACAAACTCACTCACATAATAATCACTCTACCTGTTAACAGATGGCGCTGTATGTACCAAAGCTCTATATGCACTACGAAATACGAACAAACGATTTTGTTTAATCACAACTAAATGGGCGAAAAGTTTAAGTTCAATATACACATCAGTGTACTATGTAGTATATTATATGTATATTATGACAGAGCCGACGGTTCAGTCCGCTACGAGCCGTCGTAGCGTCGCTACGAGTCTACGACGCGGCTACGCTCGCGTTACATAAACTTGGAACAATATCACAATGCCGGTAGATAGGAAATATGTGAGAAAAACTTATGTTCTAAGCTTCCTAATGTACCTATAATTTACAAAGTTCATCTATGTGTTAATGGTTGTGCTAAAAACAGTGAATAATCGTGATTATGTAGCGGTTTTCGGTTCCTTCCTTTCGATTTTGAAAACGGAAATAAGGTAAGGCGAATTATATTTTATCGTTTATGCGAGGATTTGGTCGTACCATTAAATCGGAGTGTGCTAAACATTTATTTTAATGGTTTGCAGTGTTCTACATTTGAATGTAATGTGTTTTGCTTTATATTTATTTTACGTCTGTCTTTCTCGCTTCTAAATTCGAATTTGACGTTTTCCGTGATGTGATTCGTTATTTATTTTTTTTTTTGTTTAACAAGTATGAAGGTTTTTGATATGTGGGGACTTTTTGGTGATTTTGTTTTTTTTTTACACGATATTTATATTTTATTTAATGGGTTATTCAAGTATCACTAAGTCTATTATTGGTTGTCTTGTGTATTTTATTACTGTCACTTCAATTATATTTTATTTTCCTTTGTTATTATTGTGTGTATCTCTTTTATGTCACTGTGTTAAGAAGAAAAATAGATAACCCAACATATTATATCTGCAAATTCGCACAATGCTTGCCACTTTTAATATAATTACGTGATGAAATAAACTTACTTACATACATACTATATTATCTTCGAAAAAATTTTACAAATACCACAAGATCCTTTGACCACAGACTCAAATTACAGTAACCTCAAAAAGTATCCTTGTTAGGATAGCCGGAAGGTTGTATTACGAATATCAATGTCAAGTTTAGCTGTACTCAATGACCCTAATTTCGATATCGATAAGGGTTTTCTACTTTGAAGATGTATCATACATTTTATTTATACGTATGATAGTGGAATCTCTGACGTGCACGAAGAAATTGATAATTATGTAGATGAAACGAAAAAGGTATGCTTGTATTGTCGTATCAGACGTTCTAATGGCTCGGTCTATGCCAATGGGAGTCAGATGAGACTGTGTGTCTGCGTGTGTGTGTGTGTGTGTGTGTGTGTGTGTGTGTGTGTGTGTGTGTGTGTGTTGTTCTAAAACAAACCAAAGTTTGTAATATTTTACCTTTAACTGAACTTGTTTTATCTTCCTCAGGAATTGGGTTTACTATTCCTAAACTAGGTAATAAAGTAGATAATAATGAACCCATTCAGAATTCCAGTATTAGTATGTACCATGTCATAGTAAACGGTCACTGACTGGCTCACTGACTAATTTATAACACAATGAATATAACACTATTTTTCGTGATAAGACAGTGAATATTTCCTAGCTAGAAATAGAACGAGCGGTCTACAATTTATCAAGATTTGGTGCAAGTAGTGTAAACTAAAGGTAACATTACAGGTGTAATTTGAGCTCAGTGGCGTCCAAATATAAACACTCCATTTTATTGCAGAACGTATTGTTTTTGTGTAGGTACATTTTGAAACATATACTTTTATTAATACACCACTCACTTTGAATATAGAATACAAGCGTAAGGTACACAACAAGGGGGAATTGCACAACTTGATTCCCCCTAGTCAAGTAGTTCCATCATCGTACCACAAGACAATCGGCGTAGTATCACTAATTAATGATAAATGTCTCACCCACACACACGAAGCGCTTCGCATCAAGCTTACTTGTGCGTACTGCTATAGAGTGGAATTCTTTGCCAGGATCTGTGTTTTCTAAAGGGTATAAATCTAGTTGTCTTCAAGGCCCGAGTGAATAGGTTGCTCCATAGTAGACTGCATCATCGTTTACCACCAGGCGAGATAGGGGTCAAATGTCGGCCACTCAAATATAAAAAAATAAAATAATCAAGACTCTTTATCCTAAGCCATATTAAACTGTCAAACACCAAGCGGTTACCAGTGGCCGCAACCTATTGTTCTTTAATTGTCTATAATGACGGTACTCAACGAGTTAATTACCAATTGAGTTGCGAAACAGAGTCAAGGTACATATTTCATCACTAGCATCAGACCGTTTCTGTTCACTGCTGGACGTAGTCCTCTCCATTGGCACGCAATTAAGTTCGATAATCGAACTCAATTGCGTGCGATTTGTACAATTTGTAGCGTATATAGTCACTTCCTTTAGCTGTAGGGCGCTAGAGCGCCTAAGAGTGTAGACACTACGTTTGCCTAGACGCAGCCTATTTAATAACAAAAACATTTTTTTAAAAACACTGTACATTACACATAACATAACATCACGCCTTTTATCCCCGAAGGGAGGCAGAGGTGCACATTATTCCACTGTACAATGTAACATCCACTTTTCACTATTTATGTTATGAGTCCCGTGTAACAGGAGGTAAGTTTTCACAATTCCAGACTCCGTGCTACTACTGAGATTTTTTTTTAAAAAACCCAGTAATACTTTGCCCGACCCGTGAATCGAACCCAAAACCCCTTGCCCGGTAGTCGCACTTGCGACCACTCGGCCAACGAGGCAGTCAGCAGTACGTATATATTCCAAAACTTTAATAATATGATTACGTTAAGTATTTATTCATTGTGCTGTTCGAAATATTTTGAAAGCTTTTGTACCCATCCTCCCATGCGTGAACTGCACTACAAAGCGTTTAATTGTTAAAAATTAATTAAATTCCCTGTTCTCGATATGTGTATCTGTTTTATTCGTTTATTTTAAATCGATAATATATTAAGTAAGACGTACTGTTTGAGAAAATACAAAGGAGGTAAGTATTTTTTGGAATGATTTTATTGAATCGTTTTTTTAATTCTGAATTTAAATGTCGATGCTATACAATGGGGCATGTTAATGTCATTGTCAAAGAGTATGTCTGAAATATAAATGCATTAAAGTTAAAATAAATATTTTAAGTAGTTATCAAGATACTAAAGAAGAATGAAAATTAACAAACGTTTCGGTAAATAATGATGTAGCTGTACACTTTATGATAGGTTTTCTTTTTTATTTTTTCCCCACACAAGGATTTTCTCCTATGTCGTGGAGTGCGTTTACAAACATACAAGTTCACATACACATGACACTCAGGAACAACAGTTTGTGGATCACACAAAGAGTTGTTCCTTGCGGAAATAAAAAACGGGTTGAAGACAGACTAAACACAACTTTAGACTTGATAGTAACAGATTTCAAAGTTGAAAAACATCATCGTGTTAGAATATCAAATCGACTGCATGGTTGGCGCGGTGGCTGGGCAACTGGCTGCCGTGTAACATGTAGCGGGTTCGATATCCGCACGGAGCAACTCTTTGTGTTTTTCTTTAGCAGAGCAGACGGATGGACACTCGAAACACCAAGGCGTTACAAGTGCGTTACCGGCCTTTTGAGAATTGGGAATTTGAGGATTGTGGAGGATTCGGGGATCCGGGAGACGGGGCTAGGGAGGGGGGTAATTGGGCCTCCGGTAACCTCACTCACACGACGAAACACAACGCAAGCGTTGTTTCACGTCGGTTTTCTGTGAGGCCGTGGTATCACTCCGGTCAAGCCGGCCCATCCGTGCCGAAGCATGGGTCTCCCACACTTAAATTGTGTGATCCACAAATTGTTGTTTTGGGTCTGGATGTCATGACCATGTAAAATTGCATATTACTAAACGCACCCACGACACAGGAGAAAATCCTAGTATGGGGCAATGTTAAAAAAAAACAAACCCTACCTCAAGTTATATAAACTTACTTTCATTGTGCATTCCTGTCTACCCTTCAAAGAGCAAAGGGCGTGATCTTACACTGTGGTTAAATACGAGGCTATTCCCGTGGGTGTCGTAAAGGGCAGGAGGAAATTAGGTGGGTGCAGACTTTGTTGGTTTACTTACAATTTAGTACGCTACACGTGAAGGGTGCGCTATTGTTTTCTTGCAAAAGGGCACGCATAGCCACTGGTACGTATTATATGTACGATGTAAATGTGGAAAACAAATGGATAGCGAAAATACTTTCATAATAACTATCGTGAGACGTGTTGAATCAATTCAAAAGTACGAATTGTGGGTACCTAACCCGGCTGCTAAAAATGTCGTGGTGGCCCGGAGGTTTAAGACGCCCACTTTTCATGCATGAGGGTGCGGGTTCGAAACCTACCAACGGCAAGTACCAATGTGACTTTTTCCGAGTTATATGTACTTTCTAAGATTATTTAGACACCACTGACAAACGGTGAAGGAAAAACATCGTGAGGAAACCTGGACTTATAATTTCTAATTATAAGTTTGAAATCGCCAACCCGCATTGAGCAAGCGTGGTGATTAACGCTCTAACCTTCTCCGTGTGAGAAGAGGCTTTGCTCAGCAGTGGGCATTTATAGGCTGTTGATGGAACCCGGCTGCGCGACATCGCCGCGACCGCGCACGCTCATAAGGAAGAGTCCCTCTGTGACTCGCAACTCGTAGAGGTTTTCTTAGTAACTACATTAGTAAGCCGTAATTATTAGTTAATTCAGGTAACTGATACGTTACAATACACCTATTATTTATATTGTGAGTATTGTAATCCATGACCATAACATCACGCTAATTATTCTCGAAGGGGTAGGCAGAGGTGCACATTTATACCACTGTACAATGTAACACCCACTTTTCACTATTTATGTTATTAGTCCCATGTGACAGGAGGTAAGCCTATTGCCATATACCGAGCACAATTCCAGACTCCGTGCTACTACTGAGATTTTTTTTTAAAACCCAGTTATACTTTGCTCGACTCAGGGAATCGAACTCGAGACCCCTTGTCCGGCAGTCGCACTTGCGACCACTCGGCCATCGACGCAGTCCACTAAAAAGATCCTTTAATAAAATTAGTCTTTCTATTGCTTTATAAATAGGAGAGCATTTTTATCTAGGGTCATGATGTATTTTAGTCCCTAAATCAGGATGGCTTGAATGCTGCTTCATTCACACAATCTATGGACCATCTTTTTTAAGTGCAGCGCCTGTTTTAATTAAAAGTAATTTGTGATTAAATAATACAGACGACATTTTAGATTCTTGTTTATTTCTGACTCTTGTGTTATGATGAGCATTTTGTTCCTGTATTTGCAATTTTGTAGGCAGTGTGTACCTGTACTTAATAATAACTATTCACTGAACGAGTAAATGAAACAGTTAAATAGGAATGCAAACA